CGTTGGCACTTATGCGGTTCGCGAAAAAAAAGATACCTACACATTTTGAAGCACCAGGAATCCGAATCAAACTAAATCTCGATTATGTCGTTCTGTCTGTCTGTTGGTCAGTCGTCTGTACTCTCATTGCCAGTTAAACGACTGAACCGATTGGAACCAAACTTGGTACCCATATTCATAGGCATAAAAGGGCAGAATCGCCGGAATCTTCCAGCAAAGGATAGCTTTGAATTAATTCCTGAGCTTTAGAACCATCCTTCATGCACTGAATTAAGTACTGGAACTTGACAGTTGTAGCGATGGTCTTGTCAGAATGGACGTTTTCAAATTGTGACCAAAAGTGTAACAATTCGCGTGCTTCAGCTCCAAACTATCGACTCCAAATCATCGAAGTCTGTTGCCGGAATCTTAAGTTCAATTTGAATGCTTCAAATGCCACATCAACCGCTGTCTTTTTAGATTTAGATTCACGTTGCACTTTGCCGGTTTCTTGAATAATATCGTGATAGGACTCACCACAATTCTTTCAAGTACGTTTTTCTCCAATAAACTCCATTTGCACGCGAAAAACTGTTAAAACGTCGATTCCCTTCGTTCAGAGTTTCGTTCTTTGGCGCCAATCGCGCTACCCTCCGAAAGATGGCGCAACCGGTCGCTTCCGTGGACTTCTCGGATAGGTATCAATTTTCAGATTGCCATCCTCGACCCCTACTTAACATTTACAAAAGCAGACGACAGGTCCATTATGCGAACGCACTCGTAGATTCGAAATTTTCTCCTCTACGGACGGCGGCCTAAAATAATGAGATGAAAGGAGATTTAATTGCGCGATTAAAGGATCGTATTTCCTCGTGCGGAATAAGAGCGGCGTGTTTTTTTTTCGCCCAGAATGGCGGACAAGGGGTGAATTGGCCAAGAGACGGCACGGAGATTTAACAGCCCCACCTATAAATAATATAGAAATAATTTCTCGATAAAACGTATATGCCCTTATAGATGGGCTATAATTTATAAGACAGAAATTTCAGGAATTTATTGTGCCGTTTCGTTTTAAGATCCTTTGAAATAAAGCCGAATTATTTATTCGTGCTCCCAACTTATAAACTTTATTATTATACGCTTGCATACAATGCGATTAATTAAAACTTACTTTGTGGCCACAAAGTTGCCTAATTTTGTGCGAATTTATAAACTGGCACATTTCACACTTACCTTTCGAAACAAGAACCGCATTAATTACGACAATTTCGAGACTTGTAGTAATAAATGTGCATTAAAGAGGGTGTAAGTTGGCGAGTGGCACGATAGATGGCAATTGCGTCGGGGGTGCAAGGTTTGTGCGTGTAAAATCATTATTTCAGTCATATTGGGGAGGTTGTAAATGGTCCTGTTCGAAAATATTCGAAAAGTTTTGTTGAAACTTTTCGGTGATTTGTATTCAAACAAACGAAAATGGTTATCAGAAAGCACAGAAAGAAACACATTTTAAAACTTGATGATTGATTGTTGTATTATTCATTTGATTGGGCACTATTTTCAAAACTACCCCCTAAATATTTTATTTCTGTAACTGCGTTGGTATTATTCACCCGAATAGTCGATTAATCCTGTATACTTTTGATGCTTTTCTTATTTCATTGCGACATTTGAGAGTACCTTGTATGTGAAAAAAGGTAAATTGGCGTCGTCTGGGGCTTTTAAATGTCGTCACGTAGGGATCTTTAGCTCAGAAATCTTATTTTGCAACTACAAGTACGCAAATAAGGCATTAACAGTCATCACATCAGCAGAAAGAAAAGGACATAGGACCAGGATATAAGAAGGACTGTGGAATTGATTGAGGACACCGTACTCGACCTGAAGAATCAAGCAGCAGAAACGCAAAAAGGTGCAGAGCTTATCGTAGGTCATTTTCAAAATCATTATATGTTCTCCTGATACAAAACGTTCAAAAACTGTATCTAAGAAGCTATTAGATATTTAATAAGTTTGAGGAAGAATCTCTTACGTATCATGTTCTCCTAATTATTTACTAAAAAATTATAGGCACTAAATAAGGGGGAAGAGGGAAGAGGAATATCTTGGTGCGTTATTCTGATACAAGTTATTCTAAAAATAAAGTTGTGCTACAAATGTCTAAGTTTTTGAAGGGAAATTTTTGACGTACCTATTATGTTCTCTTGATACATACACGATTACAAGAACGCAAAAAATATATTGATGGTAGGTACTCCTGATACTAATTACGTATAAAGATTTTCCACTAGACGGCGATGAAGCTTTTCATTGATACCTTCCTTCATCGGGTTATGTTTTCTCTCCTCAAGAAATGTTTGTACCAGGACCACAGCACCGCAAAAATGTGCAGTAAAGTGAGAAGGAAATTTCTTTACCTATATAAATTTGCACGTATTTTGTTCTTATGACAAACTGCTCTATAAAGAAATTTCTATCAGGGCCACAGGATCGCAAGAAGATGTAACGCTTATTGAATGAGGTTTAATTAATTACATATTTTTCACTCCTAATTTGTACAAATACTTAAAAGTGCATAGAAGCCCGTGAAAAATACCCGTCTTTTAAATAATGTTTTCCTGATACAAACTGGTGTTGAAATATTTGTTGTATGAAGATGACAGGAACGCGAGAAGGTGTAGAACTTATTGAATAACATTTATACAATGTCCTCTGGATCAAAATTTCGTACAGAAATTCTCAGCAAGCAGGTGATTTTTCAATCCTTGAGAGGGATTTTAGTTTCTGCATGTACGCCGCCCCCCTGACACACAATTTGCTCTTGTCACACTTTTAGCGACACTTGTTTTGCATTATCCCCTTTTATATTAACAATTATGTTCCCCTGATAAGATTTATGCTATAAAAATTCAAACACTTGAAAGCTAGACGGTATAGCAATTTATCGAAGTTTTCCCGATACAAATTTCTGCTGAAAAGATTATATCAGGACCATAGGAATGCAAGAAGAGCATTGTTTTATAATATTATACTCCCCTGATACAAATTTCCTATAAAAGTTTTGCACGAGAGCGTGCTGAGCAAATAGCAAGAATTATATTCTCCCGACTTAAATCAATTGTAACAGGATCACAGAGAGACATTCTGATTCAAATTTCACGTAAGAAAGTGCTGATGCTTATTACATATTATGGTTTCCTAGATTCCTCTTCAGAATATTATGCCGCAATGACAGTTACAAAAGGAAGTGCACTACTCGGCAGAGGACTTTTTTGATTTCTCCTAATACCAATTTCGTAAAAATTTAACGCAAGGATGTGTTAATGTGCTTATAATGTGAGTATAATACGTATCATTTCGAAAAAACAAATTATTTTATAAAAGTAGAAGCGAAATAAGATGTAGAGGGCATCTTTCATATATTGAATACTTAAATATTGAATCAGGATCGCAGGAACGCAAGAAGTGGTAAATTAATTGACCCCTACAATACCTTGCTCCCTAAAACATCAAGTACCTCAAGGTGTTCGTACGCAAAATCTTGATTCTAAAATATGTTATACTGCCATTAAATGTTCTACGCTCCTGATCCAATCCATAGGCCGTTGAGGGTTGCGTTCGTATAGGATGACCTGGGGGTCTGGGAGAATGGGGTATCCCCCAGCATATTACGAGATATTATTCGTGCGTATGATTCTATGATTGTAGGGAAAGTGTTATAGATTTTCGTTTGCTGGGGGGTATTCCATACCCCCCAGACCCCCCGGTGCTACGTTCTCACCCAAAGACGGAAGCCAAGGCAGGAAGATTCGATAGCCTTCTTTAAGTATAACGACATGCTTCAGGACAGCGTATTTGAGAAAAGAACATAACACCGGGGGGTTTGGAGGGTATGGAATAATCCCCAGCATCATTAAATTAGATTTTTGTGTGTATGATTTTATTTATTTATTTATTTATTTATTTATTTATTTATTTACTTATTTATTTATTTATTTATTTATTTATTTATTTATTTATTTATTTATTTATTTATTTATTTATTTATTTATTTATTTATTTATTTGTTTATTTATTCGGTTTACAGGGATTATTCTGATTTTTCGGCTTCCTTGTAATCTTCATTTTTGTTGTATTCCTCGGATCTTCGAGATCCTTCTGGTTATTCGTATTTTTCAGGTTCCTCGGACCTTTTGGGTCCTTCCTTTGGGTTAAATTTTTCAGAATTTTCCATTTTTTTAGAGCCTTTAGATCCTTTAGATTCTTCTCCCCGCCCATTTTCCAATATATAATCGGACGTAATTCACTGTCATTGTCCTGAGAAAGTGAGGGGGGGGGTCATTTTTTACCCCAAACCTCTCTTACTAACCTACGAGTGGTAAAAACGGAACGTAAGAGTTGAAGTAATGAATAGAAGCAATGAAAAACCTGGTAACAAGGCGAGGGTAAAGCATTTTGTGGTAGTGGAACATTAAACTACGAACAAAAATGAAAGCAGATAGAAAAAGGGCGGAAAAGAAGAGGTACAAGCGGAAGAGAGTAAAAGAAAATAAAAGAAACGGCAAGCGGCAGAAAAGAAAAAGGGAAAAAATTACAAGGAGGGAAGGAAGGAAATGTGTGTGGAGGTATCAGAACATATTATGAGCAATAAAAAGAAGAAAATAGAGTAAGGCAAGGTAGAGCAAAAAAATAGAGTAGAAGATTGGAGAAAAATGGGAAATGGAAATAAGAATATCGAAGGGTAAAAAGAAAAAAAAAAAATGAGAAGAGAAAATTGAAGACGGGATGAGGAGTGATGTAAAAGATTGTGTGAGTAAGACGCTTAAGTGGAGAAAGATCTGGGGAAAATACCACTGTACCTTCCCTTCGCTCTTCCTTTTGAAGAAATTGTGTCGATTTCGCCTTTAGCTTACCGCGATGTGCTATTTAAGTGGATTAGTCGAGTAGCTAATGCCTATCCATCATTGGATTGGATAGGATAGGAAGGGGGCACTGTAACGGGAGTACCGATTTTGATACTAAACTACCAATAAACGTTATTTAATATTTAAATGGATTGTTTAAAATACAGGTTTCTGCGCCGACGCGATTGGTTTGCGCTGGTGTCCAAAAAGCAACTGTAACTGCAGGTAGCAGCACTCCTGACCGTCAACAAAGCGATTCAACTTCAACGTTCTTGCTGTATCCACGCAGGCCTGGCCAAATTTCTCCTCGAACTCTGGGGGTATGTCGAATGGGGTCTGCACAACGACAAACTCTGCAAATTCGACGCATTCGTATACAACTAAATTGATAGGGGTGTACCTGGCAGGTCCTCCATTGGTATCAGAAACTCTTGCCTCTCCATTGTTACGTAGACACTTTGGAAGCCGATTTTGGTCAGAAGTTCTTCGAGGTCCTGCGCTGGTGACTCCGAATCGTGGAACGGGGACATGGTCTCTTTGTAGTCGCGCAGGACCGGCTCCCACTCAGGCGTCCCTAGTAGGTACTCGCAACCTTCGTAGAGATTGGTTTGGGCGTCGCATGAGAAGTAGAAGTCTCCCCCCGGTTTGAGGATCTTGAAGATGTTCCTCAAAGCCGTCCTAGAAAATGCTAACGTATAAGTTGCAGACCCGTGGGAACCTACTCCTGCTCCCGGATGGACTGAAGACAGTAGAACGAGAAGATGTGATCGAAGTGATTGACGTACTCGTCGAGCGTTTGGACGTCTTTGACTATGTCAACGGTTTTGAACTGGATCTTGGATTTTTTGCCGTAATGCTCGTTGGCGTAATCCACCAGGTTGGCCTTTTTGTCGATCGCGACTATTGAGTTCGCACGGATCGGTAGAATTGGCAAGATGTAGTCGTGCGTGACGTTTCCTGGACCGCATCCAACATCCAAAACGTTGCAATTATCCCTCCAGGTGGCCGTCTCCAGGATCTGCTTGATAAACTGCTCGGCGCCCATTTCGGACATTTTACTCTGCTTCACGTACACGGTTGCCCTATCCATGGCGACGTGCTTGAAATATTTGTCCGGTAAACTGAGGGTTGGGTAACTTATATGCGACAATGAACGGTAGATATTAACCCACTTTGCTTCACAATCAGACTCAGCACGAAAAATAATAGTTCAGGAGGTTCATTTTAATGGGGAAATCATGTCATTGGCGTGCACTTCAATGCGGTTCAAAGGGCACGTTCTATTTATATTGAGAACGAAAAATTGCAATCTATTCACTATCGACTACTTGTGGCGCAATAATGATCCACACAAAAATAGTACGATTTTTCTAAGCTGAAAAGATAAACCAGAACCGAATCTGGACGTCATCGACGTGATCCAGGAGTACCTATAGGTGGACTACGTATGCGCTCTGCCCACAAAATTGTGCCCTCATGTGCAGGCGCTGTGAAAAAAGTGACATAGCTTTGTATTTAAATGGTTCAAGCGTTGGGCTATAAAGCTGGAGGTCGGGTGTTCGAACCTGAGCTGAGGTAAGAATTTTTCATCTGTGACAATTTCCTTATTAGACCAGTTTCCAGCATTCTGCTCGCTACTTCGAATTAGGTTTTCCTAATTCTGAAGGTAAATACCGGAGTAGAACAACTTGAGACCATTTGCAGAGGCACTTCTAAAGAAGTGATGCGCCACTGCCCTGCTTGTCTTGGTCAAGCAGACTCCTTGGGATGGATCAAGTTATGGAGTTGGTAGAATTTACACATATCGAAAAATTATGATAATCGGAAATTGCGATACGCTTCCAATAACATAGAAAATCTCGGTGCGAGGAGAAGATGAGAACTGCCTGGCGTCCAGGGACATGACTTTGGAGTAACCATTTCTAGACCCAAGACCAAAGTCCATTTGTGACTTGGCGGACGAAAAGGAAGAGGACGTTCAAGTCAAACAACAAAGAATAATCGTCTCCTCAGTCGAAGACCGAATCTTACCAGAAATGTCTCCGGATTAATCCCTACCTAGCTTTCAGGATTAATTCCGAAACTCGTTGCCAGCTCATTGCGTTATAGAACTCAATTACGCAGAAGAAGTGAAGGCTACTTTTAACCGGAAACTACGAATTTCCTTACAAACCTAAATTTATCAAAATTAGCAAGTTATAATTTGACCACCCTGTACACTCGCCAATATCAAACTTATAACAATGCACCCCTTAGCGAAATGTATCGTTCAACTCTACAAAAAATCAACCCCCAATATGAGCTGGCAACGAGTTTCGGAATTAATCCTAAAAGCTGGGTAGGGATTATTCCAGAGAAATTTCTGGGGAGATTCGGTCTTCGACTGAGGAATTAACCACGCCGGCCGCCGGCGTTCGTTTAGGACTAGCGAGGTCAAAAGACTTTCTATTTGGCGCTCAAAGTCACATCATACGGAATTACAAGTTCAAACTACGAGCAAAATGCAAGTTTAGTCCGACATTTTAGTGAAAGTTCGCGAATCTTTTTTTAAACGAGAATTGTCCTGAACTTTTTGATATTAGATATGGTGATTTTAATTTGTTTTTCTTAAAGATACCCACCTCTGGGCCGTTTAAAGCCGTTTGTATTAGATAGGTTTGTCATTCTTGAAATCATTGGTACTGGATTTGCTAAAAAATTAGTTTTCCATTTATAGATTATTTGATTAAAGTTCTATACTCCCAAGGCCCCCCGGGACAACGTCTTTTTCCAAATTGTTTGTATGATTTTTTCTATGGAGTGAGTTAAATTTCCTTTTCTAAGAAATATTTCATACAGATTTGAGGGTTAAAAGTTTTAAGGGGCGATGGCATCACCGGGTGGTCTAGGGAGACTTCCGTCTGAAGGCTATGGAATACACCACAGCACAGGACCGATTATTGTTTCAAATAAAAATTACTACATCTGCTTTCAGGAAATTTTACTAAATAACCCTTTTTGCCTGCATGTATTATCCTGGGGGTACCTCCCAGATCCCACGGTGCTACGTTCACTCCCAAAATGTATTTATGATTATTTTCTGCGGGGAAATTTTCTTTCAAGAGAGATATCTCATACAGCGTTTTGAAGACGGAATGTTTTGGGGGCGATGGTACCACCGGGGGGTCTGGGGGGTATGGAATGCCCCCCAGCACACAGTAGGAACCGACTATAGTTAAAAAATTAAAAAATGCTACTACGACATCTGGTTTGGGGCAAGTTTCATTAAACTTCCCTTTTTTCTTGAAGGTATTAGTCTGGGGGGTCTGGAATACCCCCCCCCCCCCAGTACACGGAAGGAATTGATTATCGTTAAAAAAAGCTACTACGACTGGTAGCAAGTTTCATTAAAGTGCCCTTTTTTCCTGGTGGTATTAGCTTGGAGGTATTCCATTCCCCCCAGACCCCTCGGTGCTATGTCCTCTCCCAAAATGTTTTTTTTAGAGAAATATTCCATACAAATTTGTGGGGGGTTGAAGGTTTTGGTAGAAATGGTAACACCCGGGGGGGGGCTGGAGGTTATGGAATATCACCCAGCAAACAGGAGGAACTGATTATCGTTTCAAAGAAACTACTACATTTGGTTTCACTAAATATCCCTTTGGTCTGGGGCTATTTGCCTGGGGAGGGGATATTCCATAATCCAAAGACACCTCGGTGCTACTTTCTCTCCTAAAATGTTTGTATGATTATCATCTCTAGTTCTGCGGTTATACTTCCTTTTCTAAGAAACATTTCATACATAGTTTTAAGGGGGTTTGGGAGGGGTGGTACCACACAAAGGGAACAGATTATCGTTTAAAAAACCACTCTGCTTCCAGGAAACTCCTGATATATCCCATTTAGCTTGAGGGTATTGGCTTCTACACCCCCACCCCCCTGGTCCTACGTCTTTTCCAAAAATTTCTGGATTTCTGGACTATGGAGTGCGGTAAAATTACCTTTTCTGAAAAATATAGGCAGCTTGAGACCAAATGTTGGTCTGCGGGGTATGTAACACCCCCTCAGCACACAGTAAAAATTGATTACCGTTTCAAAAAAAATACTACGACATCTGCTTTCAGGAAACACTAAATATCCCTTTATGCTTGGGTTTATTGGCCCGGGAGGTATTCCATACGCCCCAGAACGAAAATGTTTGCATGATTATTTTCTCAAGAGCGCGGTTAAATTTCCTTTTCTGAGAAATGTTTCATACATACTTTTGAAAGCTGAATGTTTTTAGAGGGTGTCCCAGCACAGAAGAGGAACCGATCACCGTTCCAAAAAAAGCTACTACGACATTTGCTTTCAGAAATGTTGCGTTAAATATCCTTGTTTGCCTGGGGCCAGGGGGGGGGGAGGCGCATGGAAAACCCCTAGCATACAGAAGGAACCAATTATAGTTTCAAAAAGAGGTGCTGTTATATCTGTCTTAGGTAATATTCCTTTTCGCCTGGAGGTACTAGCCGGGTGGGTATTCCAGACCCCCACACCTCTCCGGCGCTACAGCATCTCTCAAAATGTTTGTATAATTTATTCTCTCAGGTGTGCGGTTAAATTTTCTTTTCTGGTAAATATTTCATACAGACTTTTCAGAGCTGAACGTTTTGGGAGGAATGAAAGCATCGGACAGGTTCTCTTTTTTCCAGGGGTATTAGCCCCCCGGTGCTACAGCCTCTCTCAAAATGTTTGTGTAATTATTCTGGCAGGAGTGCGATCGAATTTTCTCGTCTGAAAAGAATTTTGGGGCGTAGAATCCAAAACAATTCGTACTTTTTCGATTAGACTTCTCAATCAAAAGTTATGGACTAGAAACCAATTTCGAAAGAAAATTCAAAGGGCTGTAGCTTTTGCACTAGTAGCCCAATCTTCGAACTATTTGAAATTATGGATTCTACAGGGCACATTCTATAAGAAAATTTTTTTTCCCGATCGATCTGAGACAATTTTCTTTTCGGGGCTCAAAAAAAGGCAGTGTATAACCTTCCTTTTTACCAAAAATCGACTACACCAAAATTTCTCGGGAAAACACTTTTTCTTATTAATTTTGGTGCGTAGAATCCAAAACAATTCGTACTTTTTCGGTCAGACTTCTCAATCAAAAGTTATAGACTAGAAACCAATTTCGAAAAAAAATTCAAAGGGCTGTAACTTTTGAACTAGTAGCCCAATATTCAAACTGTTTGAAATTATGGATTCTACAGGCCACATTCTATAAGAAAAATTTTTTTCCGGGTCGATCTGAGACAATTTTTTTTTCGGGGCTCAAAAAAGGCAGTGTATAACCTTCCTTTTTTACCAAAAATCGACTGCACCAAAATTTCTCAGGAAAACACTTTTTCTTATTAATTTTGGGGCGTAGAATCAAAACGATTCGTACTTTTTCGATTAGACTTCTCAATTAAAAGTTATGGACTAGAAACCAATTTCGAAAAAAAATTCAAAGGGCTGTAACTTTTGAACTAGTAGCCCAATCTTGGAACTGTTTGAAATTATGAATTCTACAGGCCACATTCTATAAGAAAATTTTTTTTCCGGGTCGATCTGAGACAATTTTTTTTTCGGGGCTCAAAAAAAGGCAGTGTATAAACCTTCCTTTTTTACCAAAAATCGACTGCACCAAAATTTCTCGGGAAAACACTTTTTCTTATTAATTTTGGTGCGTAGAATCCAAAACAATTCGTACTTTTTCGTTCAGACTTCTCAATCAAAAGTTATAGACTAGAAACCAAATTCGAAAGAAAATTCAAAGGGCTGTAACTTTTGAACTGGTAGCCCAATCTTGGAACTGTTTGAAATTATGGATTCTACAGGCCACATTCTATAAGAAAATTTTTTTTCCGGGTCGATTTGAGACAATTTTTTCTTCGGGGCTCAAAAAAGGACAGTGTATAACCTTCCTTTTTTACCAAAAATCGACTGCACCAAAATTTCTCGGGAAAACACTTTTTCTTATTAATTTTGGTGCGTAGAATCCAAAACAAATCGTACTTTTTCGATCGGACTTCTCAATCAAAAGTTATGGACTAGAAACCAATTTCGAAAGAAAATTCAAAAGGCTGTAACTTTTGAACTAGTAGCCCAATCTTGGAACTGTTTGAAATTATGGATTCTACAGGCCACATTCTATAAGAAAATATTTTTTCCGGGTCGATCTGAGACAATTTTTTTTCGGGGCTCAAAAAAAGGCAGTGTAT